GGGGGTCAAAACTTAATTAAAATCAAGCAACATTTGTACGTAAAGTTTCAAAATAAGAACTTTATACTAAAGTAACTAACAATTTATTTTCAATTTGTAGTAATAGGCCGGTGGGGCCCCTCGGTCAAAACTGTTGGACTGGCTTGGTGATTGCTGTTATGGCTAGTCTGCCCATGGTGCTAAAAATAGAACAGCTAATTTTCATTTCCGTTATTTCTTAATTAAAATCAAGCAACATTTGTACGTAGAGTTTCAAAATAATAACTTTATACTAAAGTAACTAACAATTTATTTTCAATTTGTAGTAATAGGCCGGTGGGGCTCGTCGGTCAAAACTAGTGGACTGGCTTGGTGATTGCTGTTATGGCTAGTCTGCCCATGGTGCTAAAAATAGAACAGCTAATTTTCATTTCCGTTATTTCTTAATGTTAAAAAATATACAGTAAAAGAAAACAAGAACTTTTTAAAGCTAGAACCATAGATGGCAGAAGCACTTTGAATCTGAAGGGACATAACCTTTGCAAGGCACATTTTGCATCTTTATCAATTAGTCAAAAAGTTTGTTTGTTTGTTTTTGAATTTCGCGCAAAGCTACACGAGGCCTATCTGCGCTAGCCGTCCCTAATTTAGCAGTGTAAGACCAGAAGGAAGGCAGCTAGTCATCACCACCCACCGCCAACTCTTGGGCTACTCTTTTACAAACGAATAGTGTGATTGACCGTCACATTATAATGCCCTCAGGGCTGAAAGGGCAAGTATGTTTGGTGAGACGGGGATTCGAACACGCAGATTGCGAGTCGAGCTTCCCTAACCTCCTGGCCATGCCGGGCCAAAGTCAATAAGAAATACCAACTTAATTCCGGCTGTTAAGAATGCTGACAGTTCTAGACTGCCTTATTATATTTTTAATGTCATAGTTTTTGTTTTTACAAAAAAGTGTGGCATTGTACCTAGGTTCTACCGCTTGTGGCTAGAACTGATTGGAACATGCAGTTTGGACAAATAAATGAGTACTGTTTCTACAGAAGGGAGATTTTATCTTTGATAAACGAAGATTAACTTTGTGCTGACGATGAAAGAAGATTATTTTATATTGATGATGGATACGAGTTTTTTATCATATTTAAATATTTATTTGCTGGTTTGAGAAGTTAATTTGTTAAAGTTAATCACGGGTAATATTTAAAATGCTCATCAACATTATATACAATTTGAAGAGTTCATCTTATCTTTTGTACCTTTATTGGTTTCTTCATCACTATATCTAGAGTGGTCTTGTAAACTCTCTTACAATGTTCAACGTCTGTAATCTCCAAATATCATCTACTCGTCTAATGAAGGATAGTGCTGTCGATCATTCACAATGTGTAAACTTGAAGCATGATATCCGTGGGCAAAACACATACTATCTGCTTTGAGAACAACAAAGACACAAAACAATTTCAACGGTTTTCTGTACCACGTGTGTATGCCAAACTGTATAGAAACAGACTAAATGATACATTTTAAAAATTACGTGTTAATAAACACACATAGAAAACATATGGTATGTTTGCATATCACACTGTTACTGTGTGTCATCCTGTTAAGTGTTAAACAAGTACCCTGTTGCCGTATTTTCTTCTTCCTGTTATACGTTAAACAAGACTGTGTTAGTGCGTACCGTTTTCTTGTTTTTATGTTAGTGTGTTATCTTCGTGTTATTGTTATGGTATATTAAACCATTTCTTTCTTTCCATGTTATTGTGTATTAATAATTATCCTTACGTTTTGTAGTATTAGCCCAATTTTGTTTCATTTATTACATACTGTTAGGTATTATGAAATAATTATGCTCCAATCCATCTGTACAGTTAAAACGATCGCGAGGATATCCAAAAGTGTTTGTTTCCTGGATGGTTTAGACATTCTTTCTTACTCAGATGAACCAAGTCAAGTTGTTCTCCACAATAGTTATCAACAGTGGTTAAGAACCCTCATAAGTCCTAGTTGCGACACTGTGCGTGGTTTGTTTGACGTCAGTCACGTGTGCTTATTATGTAAATGTATCTCTGTTTTCGCAACATTTCCCCCCTTCTAAAATCGAATTAATTTACAATGAAGGGTTACATTCCACAGATCAATTCATACACGAATCAATTATTAATTTACAATGAAGGGTTACATTCCACAGATCAATTCATACACGAATCAATTATTAATTTACAACGAAGGGTTACATTCCACAGATCAATTCATACACGAATCAATTATTAATTTACACGAATGTATCTTATCATAAAAACACGTGCAAAGTTCACAACGTGAATAAATAATAAACTTCAGATTCATGTTGTGGTGAAACACTGAAATCAGCAAAGTAATGCTATAAGAAGTCGACTCCACGGCAGTTGAAGTAACAATCGCTCCTTCTGTTCGTAGCACACAAATATAACCAGTATGTTTTCACTTCGAGTTATTATCTTTATATGTGGGATTATATTTCACGTTTGCCATAACGAAGCATTACAGAGAAATTTTATAAAATTCGGAAAAGATAAACGTACAGAAATAAATATTCTGGCGACTTTGAATCAAGTCCACAGCCGCGTAAGCTGTTCCATTGCTTGCCTTAGGACGCCAGGGTGCACTTCGATCAACTGGAACTCTGAGACTGGGCTCTGTGACTTGGCCGGTGCAGTAGTGGACGAAGAGGATAAACTCGTTTTCACTGCTGGGAATGATTATTACGTACCTTATCCGGTAAAAATATTTGAAGATGACGTAGATGCAACAATATCAACAATCTTGATATATCATCTAAAGTCCAATGAAGGACGCGTAGCTTCATATCTTTTGAGAGTGGTCTTCTGCTAATAATAATAATTTTTTTTAAATCGCTTGCTTTTCTAAGGTTTATCTACAATGCTAATTTATTTATTCTTAGTTAGAAAAGAAGATTAATTTTTTCGTTTCTTAATTACTTTTCATTTCTGATTACTGTTATTTATAGTCTTTATAAAGATAATTATGAAATTTTAATGAGTACTAAACTGGTGTTATGTCACACTATTATCTTTCGAGTTATCTAGTACGGTTCTTTCTGATAGCCTGAGACGTCACTTCAAACAAACGATGGTAAATCTCTTGGAAAGTTTACTTTTCAAAATTGGTTTGAAGTGACTTGGAATGGTAACAAGTGTGTATTTTATTTTCACCACCTTGTTAACTTTTGAAATCAAATAACTTGTGATAATTAACATGCATGTAAACTATGTTTTAGATAACCTGTGACGATCACCCTTGCTTAACATCAGCAGCTACATGTGTTCCGACATCGCCCTCTAGTGGAAGTTTTCGTGCCTTTAAATGCGAATGCGTATGTGGTGATTGCAGTAACGAATGTCCATTCTGTAAGTTTTTTAATAAATTTTCCTTAGTAAAATTTTATTTTTAACGTACGTCAGGTTTATACACTTTTGATCTAACGGTGTTTCTCACGTATCACTTACTGGAGGCCCGGCATGGCCAGGTTGTTGGAATACCCGTCACACCAAACATGCTCGCCCTTTCAGCCGTGGGGGCGTTATAATGTGACGGTCAATCCCACTATTTGTTGGTAAAAGAGTAGCCCAAGAGTTGGCGGTGGGTGGTGATTACTAGCTGCCTTTCCTCTAGTCTTACACTGCTGAATTAGGGACGGCTAGCGCAGATAGCCCTCGTGTAGCTTTGCGCGAAATTCAAAACAAACTTACTGGATTCGTGAATTTTGGCGTAAAATCTATTCTAATTGAGAGAGGTGTCACTAAGGGATTACAGCACTAAATGGTTTGAGAAGTATTGGAAAAACTGCCACCTTTCTAATTTCGTCGGAATTGGAAGCTACAAATATTCCTATGATGTTGAGACGTTTTAATGTTTGTTGGAGAATGATATATAAAACAGAAGACAGATATCAGAGTAGACGAATAAATGGATAAAGAGTGGTGAGGAAAGTATGTCGCCAGTAAGAACCAAAACTAGTTCTAAACCTTATTTTCTTATGTGTTATCGATCAGTGAGAAACAAACATTTGCTCTGTTTAAATCTGTTGTAGATCACTCCCTGACAGATATAAGTAAAATCTCATTAAAGTTGAAGGGACGGTGACGTCAGAATATCGATCTGTAACAAAGTGGTGTCAGAATTAGTCTACAATAAAGTGGTATCAGAAGTGGAAGTCGTCAATTCATTAGGAATCGAACCCCAATAACGGAATAAGAGTTTCAAGCTGGAATCACATTACCAAAAGCCTTGAAGGAAAGTCAACTAGATGAAGCAGTGAAGTCGAAAAAGTTTATTTTTTATTTTTATTTTGCCTGTTTTGTTTTTGACGGTGGTTCAATTAATTATTAATAGTTAAAAGTTGTGTGTTTCGTTGTTAAAAATAGAAAATTAGTGTTAGCATAGAGGATAATTGGAAATCACATTGAGGCAGGATTCACAGCAGATAATTTTCTTTAACCTTGATCTTGGTGAATATACAGGAACTGCAAATGGTGTTTGCAAAAGTTGTCATGGTAACGCTTTAGAACTTGATAAGATACAGTGACGAATGAAACGCTAGGAAAAAGACGCTGAGAATCAACGTTTTATAGCCACAATTGGAGGGTAGGCATAAGTAGAGAGAATTCGAATTGAGGCAGGGTAATTCTGGTGATAGGGCTGGCATGCATGAAAGGAGCACCCTTACGAAGTTGCTTTAGTTTTTCGAAAGTGGTGCATATGTATTTTTCTGTACTTTAAAAAACAAAGGGAGAAGAGAAATAGCAGTCACAGGAAGTGGTGAGGAGACCACTATCTGCATCACTTGGAAAGGCGTTAGCAGCATTATAATAAGATTACGAACGCCAATAGATCAAAGTGTGGTGTAGTTAAATCAGCTATCTTAAAGACCTGTGAGTTAAGTCTCGAAACTTATCACAGGAAAAGTACTAAATGATATATTCAAAGAGCATGAATGCATGAGCTGTTAGTGAAATGGATCGGGGGATCTAACCGTACTCAAAATGCTAACAAGATTGTAGATTTGATGTTGCAAGAGGAAATTTCGATAAAATTACCAACTCATTTAGTAATATTATTAAAAGATAGAAAGCCAGCAAATACATTTGAGACAGTGACGTTAGCGGATGATTGTGTAATGACAAGGAAACGTAATTAGTTGAGAGTAGGTGAAAATCAAGCTATTTGAACTAATTACCACAAACAAATGGAATTGGATCAGTGCTCCCCGAGATCAGTAAAGAAAAATATTTCACAGCGTGGTTTGGCAAATAAGGAGAGAGATTACAAACTACCAAGATGTTTTATATGTGACCAAGTTGGGCATATAATTAGATTATGTGGGCAGGATATCTAGATGATTTGATGATAAGGGGCAAACTATAAATACATAAGTGATACTGGTAGTTGGAAAACTCTGGTAAGAAAAGAGTTCGTAAAATATAATCAACTCACAGGTGATACATTATATTTAATTGAGTTTAGTACCACAGCAGGAGACCTCAGTATGCTGTGCCACTAATTAAAGTCGCATCAAAATGTCAAGCTTTTTAAGGTGAAATAGTCGCTTGAGTGGCGGATGGTGTCCCACATCTGGTTTTGATTGATAATGAGGTAGAAGCTACCTAGTTGAAAAATACACCACTAGCAGTAGTAACATGTAGCTAAATTGGCAAAGGATATGAAAAACTCTGAAAAAATTAGAAGTTAGGGAAGAATAAATAATCAAGTAAATAATACAAATAATGACGAATTTTTAAATGCTGTTAGAGGGAATACAAATCGAGAACAATCAATTCAATGGCAGAAGTTAAGAGTTTGAAACTGAACTTGGGTGAACGTATTATTACTGGTGAGAAGGAGTGATGAACTGTAAATGTAATGAGAGTGATGCAATAGATGTGAGGAATCAAATAGTACTCTCAAAGGAATGTAAATAGTATTAGAGTTATATGCAATACTGGATGGACATTTAGGCTAGCTACAACGATAGATATGATCAGTAAAAACTACTACTGGCCAGGTATGTATGGAGATAAAAAGATTTATATAAAGAGGTGTCCAGCATGTGAGCTAGCTGGTAAGAGGGGCAAGAAGGTAAAAAGCCCAATGGTTTATTTATTAGTTGGTTTTTGTAAAGCACAAATCTAATCAATGGGCTATTTGTGCTCTGCCCACCATAGGTATGGAAACATGGTTTTTAGCGTTGTAAGTCTGCAGACTTACCGCTGAGCCACTGGGAGGCAATATATGAGTTATAAGTGAACATTTCAGTTCCTTTAGTGACGATATTATCAACTATCGGACCACTTTCAGTATCTGAGCAAGGGAATAAATACATTCTGCCACTAAATATATAGAAACAGTAGCACTAGCTTCTATGGAAGCAGAGAAAATAGCGCGAGAACTAATAGTGATATTCTCAACGATCGGGTTTCCTGAAGAATTCTTATTAGATTTAGATCTAGAAGGTGATAGGAGTAAAAATGAAATACAGATAGATCCCAAACAACTGTGATTGTGAGAGAGCAAATAGATTAAGGCCATGTTAAGAATCATGGTGCAGGAGAATTCTATTGATTGAGGTATTATGTTGCCTATTGAGCTATTTGGATATCAGGAAGTCCCCCAAGCTACAACAGGAGTTTCACCCATTCAGTTAGTATATGGGAGAGAATTTAAGGGGCCGTGAAACTTATTAAAAATACGTTGGTTCGGAGGCAAAGCCGAGTCACGAAATGTGTTAGTATATGTGACCAGCTTGAGGTAAAGGTTAGCAAAGGACAGAAGCTAGAGGCTAAACTCTCCAGAAGAATATAACTAAAAACTTTGCTATGAAAAGAATGTTAGTGGATGGGAAGTTAAGGTGAAAGAATCAGTTGTGGTACTGGCCCCAGTACCAGAAAATAGTTTAGAGACAAGATGGACATGTCCTTTACCTATAATTAAACGTGTCAGTAAAGTAGCATATGAGGTAGGTGTAGGGGATGGGAAGTAGTGGGAAGAGCCTATCATGTAAATACGCTTAAGCCATGGTACACTAAAGTCGCACCTAAACTTATGTGATGACCTGTTTAGAGACTAGTAGTAATGATAGTGAACAAAACAGGTGATGCGATAGAGTCAGTTACTAGAGAAGTCTAATTTTATAATATACATTATAGATCAGCGAGTGGTCATCGAAATGCAGACGCCCTCTTGTGCTTCAGTTATTAAAATCAGCCTGTGACCTCGCTGTTTAATACCTATATATATACTGTATATAGATATGGGACTTAAGATACATCTAGCTAAGGTTAAAATTGATTTTGTGTCTGAAAGTCTGGTTATGCAAATGAATAGAAGAGCTGACTTACTGGTTCGAAACCTGAACATTAAAGGTGAAACACAGGATATGGAGCGTATTTCACAATTCAATGTGTATGGATATACACACAGCGTGGTCACAAGTAAATAGACACCTAATTTTTCGTCATTTAACATGCTAACTAATTTCTGTTCACAGAGCACTATATAAATGAAAATGGTCCGCACACTAATTATCTTGTGCA